TCATATCTGATTGATGGAGTGCCGGAGAGGTTGCCCAGGGAGTCAGTCCCCATCTTAGCACTCCTGGCCAAATCACTGAGGTGAAAATCTGATGAATTGTGTCGGCGAGAAAGCGATTTCAAAAAACAGCGCCAGAGCAATATAGAGCCGCAAAATATTTAATCTCGTGAGCATAGTGTATCTAAAACTAAGAGCAAACAGTGATTTGGAATGATTCTCCTTATTGGCTTAAGTGATGTCTCCCCTACTGACGGCTTTGTAAAAAAGAGTGACGATTGGCGGTGAGATGAAAATCGATAATTGGTTCGCCAGTCATTTTTTATGGCATTGCCTAGCGTATTTTGGTCCTCCTACTATTGCTGAAAGAACGGTCACAAAAGTAATGTAGCATCTATTTTTCTAAAGATTGGATCTACACACACTAGTTTCAGATTAAAGATGGCTGCCCATAGAACGTGAGGTGTGATCAAGGTTGTAGCTAAATGACGGACTGAAAAAACTATCAAAGAGAAAGAAAACTGCGGAACAAGGACTTGCCCATTTTCTTCATAATCATAAAGTGTCAGCCCTTTTATAACCTAATTTAATAGTTTGAGTTCACACTGCCTTGTCTCCGGTCAACTATTTTCCGGAGAACTCGGTAAGCAGCTTCAAGTCGGGGTGTCTTCTTTACTCCTCCACTTACTTATGGAATAAAATAGCTAACCAAGCAATAGCAAAACCCCCCGTGCCTCGACTGATGGGTTCACGAAAACAAGCAAACTGAATGAAGCTGGTGTTGGACGATGGCGTGGATGGATTCGAGACCGGAAGAGGATGTAGAGGATGGGACCCTACCTGGAAGCGGTCGAGAAAAATAGTAAAGGAAAACGCTGAGAGACGAACGAAGCAATGGGAAAATGAGGAAAGTGGAGCGAGAAAGGAAAAAGAGAGGAAGAGAGAAGTGGAAGAGAAGAATTAATCCATCACTTCCCCACTCACCCCCAATCGATTGCCGTCTCTTTCCTCTTTCGCTATGGCTTCGAGAAAAGAGAGAAAACTGCCAACACACGGATATGCGGGAACAGACCCCGTGAAGATTGACGAGGTTAATGAAAATCCCGCATTTCTTGAGATGACATGTGAATGAGAGATAAGAAATTTCACCCACTACCCTGGCCACAGTTCCAACGTTATTTTGACCGATGAGAAGTGGCATTGTAAACAACCCTGTGTGATATCACCAAGAGCCCCTGGCGAAGGGTGAAATAGAGAAAAGCGTTACGTACCCGATAAAAAGTACCTGTTCAAAAAAACAAGATTGATTCGATCATTGAATTGAACCAAAACAATAATTGGGAGCACTCACGTAAAAAACCTGTTATTTGATAAAAGCTCTCTACTGATGATGGCGAAGTGCTTACGAAAGAGCGGACAAAAAAATGAAAATTTCAATTTTTAAACAAAAAAGATACCTAAAGATTGCTAGCATTCCACTTATTTAAGTCTGGTGAAATATTTCTGGCCCTACAACGGCCAGGGGAAGAGCCTGAAGAATAGCGAAAGCTCTGGATTTTCCAAGAGATCATATGGCATAGAACAACGGGACATAAGCGTCAGGTGGTTGTCTGCTTTGTGTCTCTCAATATCTGTCTTTTTAAGAACTGACCACCAAGAAGTAAAAAGGACATTGGTATCGGTAAAACAAAGTTCTCAATGCTGCCCGGTTGGCAATGCCAACATTGCAATTTCCACCAAGCAATGATTCAAGGAAAAAATTTGAGCATCAAACTCTAGAACTGGTATGACATTTCAAAAGCGACATTAAAGGTAAAATTGAACCTTGCGTTGAACGACTGAACAGATGCGTCTGGTTACCTAGGAGTTGCAAGATATAGCTATAATTTCCCTAGATTACACAATTTCCTTAGCAGTGACTCATTCAAGGGGTGGGGCTAGCCTGAACCTTTCCTTTCTCTACACGAAATTACGCAACCTTTTGCCGATTTTTGAAACCAATAATAGAACAGCATGCCAAAATTTCGAAAATTTTTAAAATATTCATAAAGCTTTGAAGCTTAAAAAAGCACAAACAATAAGAAATCAAAGTTTATTCGAACAAATCAACAACATCTAAAATTTTAAAAAATCAACAAAAACATTCAACAATACCAATTAAGATTCATCCATAATATCGGCTCGTAGCTGTTGAATAACTTTTGCTGCCACCTCGGCCGCTACATCGCTTCTCATCAAATCCTTTGTTTCATACCTAGAATTTTATTCGTTGCAAGTTAAGATACCAGGTTTTTTACATTTCTAATCAACTTTAAACGCATGGAAAAATCTTAAGAAAATTACGCGGAGGAAAATCGTAGCAGTCCATAACCGATGTCTCAAAGATGTGAATTCCGTGGTTGGCGAGCACATTGATACAGTTGAAAAGTCGTGAAATCACCTAAAATCACTATTTCAAATCTGAAAACCTTTTAAAACCTTCATATTCGATGCAGGCACATGTTGATTGAGATCAATATTGTAGCCACCATCTGGATCTTCGGAGATCCTAAAAAGTATGCTCTTTAAAATTGAATAACACTTTTTGATTATCCTTGTTACATATATTGCTTCAAGTAAAAAAACTGAAAAAACTACAAAGCACCTGAGAACTTACTGTTCACAAATCCAGATCATCCCATTGCATCCGATAATCAATCCTGCTCCACAAGGCAAGGCGTGGAAATGTGTTTTTCGTCAGCTTGATCAAGTAGGGAAGGAACTCGAACCACAACTCAATGCAAGTTTGCCGTATCTAAAAATACATATTAGATAGCTAGATCGAACTCTCATGACATAAATACATTATTAATCCAAAAAATTTTCACAGATAAATATTGCTAAAGAAATCCTACTTTAAACTTCGTTGTGCAAAAATATCGATCCATCGTGGAACTTGTTGCACTTCGGCTGAAATAAACTGCCTTCGACAAGATAATCCCGCATAGCCAATTCGTCTTCTGGTCGTTTTCCTAAAAAAAAATATATCTATCAAATTTAAGCCGCAGTTTAACTTGTTATTTCTACTAAAAACTTTGAAAAAGAGAAAACTAGCCTTCTCAGCTCCCCTCCGGGTAAATTGACACTCGCCAACTGTAGATGGGCATCTAAGCGACCGCAAATATCAACTTTCCATCGTTTCTCTTGTACTTCCGTAATCGATCCGACGACAACATCACCAATCTAAAATCTCGAGTTTGCGGAGAACTTGCAGCTACTTTACTTGTCACTAGCTTGAAAGAAACAAATCTACTCTAATGTTTACAGTTAATCTCTTCGAATTTGCTAACAAACCTCTGGACTGTATCGTTGTTTCACACTCTGCACATTGATGAGACGATTGACTTGTCGAACGGCTCCTGAAAACTCTCAAATAAACAGAATTCAATCTTCAAACAAACCTGCCAATGATGAGTACAATTCGTCGCCTCGTAGATATGTTCCATGGCCTCGCATAAAGCCGCTCAATTGAGAGACGGGTAAAACCCGGAATAACCAATTTATCCGCTTGAATCTAAAGAAAAACGTTAGGTAAGTTACCTAATATTGACAACATAAAAATCCATACAAAATACAAGATCTATACAATCTTAAAGTTTGACTACAATCTACTTTGCTTATTTTAAGCTAGATTTCTAGACTTATATTGCCTTTGCTAGATTTTAAATAGTACAGTTTCAAACTTTATAATGAGAAGCTCCCCCCACAATTTATAAAATTCGTAAAGTAACTTAGAAGTAACATTGCTTTTTCAAAGTAACAAAGTTAAAAGTCTTACGAGATTTCAAATGAGAAATTGAAAGACTAGAGATGTGCCAAATTTTTCAATTGCACCCAATACAAATGATTTGGTACGTCTCACTCCTCCCAAATTTTCAAACCAAACAAAACCAACCCCCTCTATCGATATCACCAAAAGCCTCGTGTTCGAGATCGACGGAACATCGGCGGCCAAGTGATTCATCGTCGATTCTTCGCATCAAATGGTCGGCGATCTAAAAAACAGATATGTGATCTCCATGTCCAAAAACAACACACAAAAATAGAAAAATCGGTATAAAAAGATCATGATCAAGATTTAGCAACTATAAAGCGGAACTATAAAGGAACCAAATAGGAACCAAATAGGAACTATAAAGGAACTAAATAGGAACTAAATAGGAATAAATAAGAACTACATCTTGCGTCGAATTTTGCCAAAAAACTTATTTTAATAATCGTTTAGCGTTTTGGTAGGAAAGTGTCTGCGTGTTCGTTGTAAAAGTTGCTCGTGCTTCCTGGTTAACGAGGGGGGAGTAAAGTTTTGGACCATTTTGCAGCCCGATTTTAGATGTTTTTTGTTGATAACTTTTGATGAAATAAATATTTTCTGAAAGCTATCTAAAGCTTATAAAGACTTGCTGATCTGACAAGTTTAAGGTGCTTAAAATCGGGCTGCAAAATGGTCAAAAACTTTTACCCCCTGTTAATCTTTCCCCCGTTAAACGGAAAGATCCGTTGTTGCGTGCAGACTTGCTTAACGGTTTTTAACGGTACCGACACAACGAGGGTTCGATTCCGGTCACAGTCAAAGTGTTTCGTTTTTTACAAAAAATTTATCAAGCTTTTGCATTAAATCTGAAGATGCCAGCAAAGTAATTAGTTTTTTAAAATATTACACTTGAACATAGCTTGCTTGTTTTAGCAAGTTTTAGTCCAGAACCGTTAAGGACCGTTAAGCAAGTCTAACAGAAAAAAAAATGGGGGTGGCTACTTTGCGCCAAATTTTTTGCGCAACTAGGTCTTTTGCGCAAAGTGGCCACCCCAGAAAATGCATAGTTTTTGGAGTTGCATTGGTTCATAACTTGTATGAAACCTAAAGATATTCAGTTAACAAGTTGAGTAGCTTCTTATTTTTAGACATTTATGCAAATTAAATAAAAATCGCAGATAAACAGCCAAGATTCGCTTTTGAATGTTTTACTACTTTCTTTTCGAAACGAAACGCGAAATTCGTAAAGAAGTTGTAGACATTTTTGCCCAAAAGCGTTAAGAGAGTCTCGGCACGATTGATAGAGGTACCCTGACTACGGTAGAGGTCGATGAAATGGGCGTGGCTACCGTATCCTAGAATCTGGGGGATGAATCGCCCACCCCCGATCGCGCCCAACCCCCAGATCATCCCACAAAAGTGATTCCGGTCTTCGTGCAATAGACCACTCACTACGTGTCTCCCGGCTCTTTGAATGATGGACCAACTCACGGCCGCCTACCTACAGAATTTGCAACAATTGGGCAACATTGGGCCAATCAAGAAGAAGAAAAGAAGAAGCTACAAGGTCTACATTGGTGGTTTACCGCCCGATGCTACTTCGGATGAGGTTAGGATGCGATAATTTGCGACAAAGCCCTTAACTTATCAAACTTGGTATTGTAGCTCTTCTATCTTTCAGGCGCAGAATCATCTCCAGTTCTTTGGTCATAAAAGTTGAATAAAGATAAAGAATATTTTCTAATATGTGAAATTATTTACATAGGAAATCAGCTTTGGGCACCTTCGAAGACTTGTTTAAAGTGCTCAAGCCATATCCCAAAATCAATCGTGATACGTGGAACTCCTGTCTCCACTTTCAGACTAATTATCATCGCTATTTTCTCATAACGAAATCAAAACCTTAAACTCTTCCAATTTTGTTTTTAGTTACATGAAGTCTTTCGTCTTTTTCGGAAATCTCAAACGGATTTGGATTGCGAGGAAACCGCCTGGTTTCGCCTACGCCTTCTATGAGAGTCTTCATGAGGCACAACAGGCAGTGAATGAAATGAATGGAAAGTAGGTGAAATGCTAATATCAATACTTTTGTTTCACAAGAAACATTGGAAATTGACCTCAGCTATTTAGCTTTATCTAGTGTTCAAAGTTCAAAATCAGTGATCCGATTTTGAAGCTTAAATAATTCCCATAGTTGTTCTCAATTTAAAAACTTGTGAATTGTGAATTGCTAAAATTGTGCTATTACTTTTTTCTTCAATACAAAACTTTCAGAATCCTTTGTGGCCAAGTGATCAAAGTGGAAATCGCTTACGAGGATCTCCCTCAAGTGATCAACGATCAAAAACAACAACTTTTCACCGCTCAACTTCAAGCACTCACTGATATGAGCGGACAAATGGTTGCCGCTCATACCGGTTTCATGCCCGGTCTTTCCATGCCATCAAACACCTTTCAAATGATCTCACCAACAGTGATGCCCACGTTGAGCACTCCATATGTGCGAGAAGTGATGGCGAACGAAAAGTGAGTGCTTTGACGCTTCCAGATGGATTCACTTTGCTTAAAAAGCATCTCACAAATCTACGTAATGTTTAACTATTCACTGTTCCGCAAATTCACCGTTCTTCAATTAGAATTTCCATTGTGGAATGCTAAACGTGAAACAGGGTTGGGATTTTGACTTTACCGTCAGGGTTGGCTAAAACATGGCTAAACAAATCAATGTCAAGAATTTGATTTGGCCAAATCAACTCTGTGACTTTGAAAAACGAACTCCAAATCAACAATCAACCACTTTTTTGTTTCACAAATTTCAAAGAACAATAAACGACACAATAATGGAAAAAAACAACATCAATGTGCAACGTCAACAAAAAATCTTCCGAAAACGTCAACGCTCCCAAATTACCCTACACAAATACTGACAAATTTCGTTCTCACTTCCGCCAACAAAAAAAGCTTCTCATACAAATCATGATACTTGCCAAAATCCCAATCCTATCTAAAAAAACTAAATTCTTTCTTTCAAAAACAACTGCTACCGTAAATACTGTAATACAGGGGCGGCCCAATTCGAGATCTTCAAACTATTCATCTATTTTCTATATGATTCCCTGAATCATTTGATTGTTTAGTATATCGATAATGTAGTCTGAAATGTATAAAAGCATCCTCTAAAAAGACTATATTCATGAATTTTAGTCTTTTCATACTACAGGGTGCGCCAAAATTACGGCTACACCTTTTCAGCAGATTGCATGCCAAGCGCCGCAATCAATTCAAAAACCCTAACTATTACATAGAGAATTGAAGCCTGAATTCTTGGCTACATTTCTGTATTAAAAGATTTTTGATTGGAGTTTTGCAGCCCATTTTTCAGACTCTCAAATGAGTCCAATCCGACCCGTCTCCCGACATGCTTCCATTTTTAGCTGTTTTCTAACGAAAATTTTTTTTTGTTGTTTAATACATGAAAAGATAGCATTTTAAATGATATGAGAAACGATGATATCACAAAAGTCTTTTGACAATGTTAACCTAACCAGAACAGAAAACAACTAAAAATGAAAGCGTGCCGGAGACTGATCGGATTGGGCTCATTTGAGAGTCTGAAAAATGGGCTCCAAAAATGGGCTCCAAACTCCAATCAAAAATCTTTTAATACAGAAATGTAGGCAAGAATTCAGGCTTCAATTCTCTATGTAATAGTTAGGGTTTTTGAATTGATTGCGGCGCTTGGCATGCAATCTGCTGAAAAGGTGTAGCCGTAATTTTGGCGCACCCTGTAGTATGAAAAGACTAAAATTCATGAATATAGTCTTTTTAGAGAACGCTTTTATACATTTCAGACTACATTATCGATATACTAAACAATCAAATGATTCAGGGAATCATATAGGAAAGAGATGAATAGTTTGAAGATCCCGAACTGAGCCGCCCAATGAATGTTCCAAGTTTTCGAAAAAGCTCAAATTCATCAAAATAGGGGGGTGGGACAAATGCGACCTTTTTTTTGCGCACCTGGACTTTTGCGCACCTTTTTTTTGCTGGAAAAGGCCTTAGGAAAGGTCGTAGAGCTTCAAAAATGTTTTCATAGAAGGGAATCATATGCGTAGATTCCGAATTTCGACAAATCAGACCTCGCTGACACGTCAAATTTGGGCTAAAAGGCAAAAACTACGCAACTTAACGCTTTTCCGCAGTTTTTGCCTTTTAGCGCAAATTTGACGTGTCAGTGAGGTCTGATTTGTCGAAATTCGGAATCTAGGCATACGATTCCCTTATATGGAAATATTTTTGAAGCTCTACGACCTTTCCTAAGGCCTTTTCCAACAAAAAAAGGTGCGCAAATGTCCAGGTGCGCAAAAAAAAGGTCGCATTTGTCCCATCCCCTCAAAATAATCTTTTTGAAACACGCCTCTTGTACAGTCGCGTAATCGCAAAAGTTTTTAGTATTTCATTTTTTTTTAAAGCTCCCGTACTTCCAAAAAAGTCTTTGGTACCAAAAAATAGCCTGAATTTCAGCTATTTTTTGATACCTAAGCGCACATTGTAGCATAAACTAGTGTCAAGAAAAACGCGTTCAAAGCTAAACTACGCAACACTCGGCACCATCATTATAGGGGTGGGGTACTATTACAGTATTTACGATAGGTGCTTTTCATGTTTACAAATATCTAGGACAGAGAATTGTACAGTCATG